CAATAACTGATGGACATGTTTTTCAAAATGCACTTATTTTACCATCACTTAAAAATTTTAAGTATATTATAAAATTAAATTTTTATTCAAAAAAAAAAAACTTTTCTTTTGTATATTATTAGTTTAAATACACCACCTGGTGTTAAACTTCTATTAAAACCAAAAACAAAAATTTTAAATGGATTTTATATATTAAATGATCAAACATGTGAAGTACTTGGTGGAACAGTAAATAAACTTGTTCATAAATGGAAATTAAATAAAGTTCGAATCTTAATGAAAACTTAATTAGAGAAATTACTTCTTGGATTTAGCTAATGGATACAAATGTTCGAACCTTAATTGGTGAAGAAGCACCACTACCTTGGGCTCCATTTAGTACTACACATACATTAGCAACGACAGGTTGTTTTATATTTTCAATTGCTTACTATTTTTTTCTATTATTATTTACTATGATTGTAAATAGTTGATACTTCTAAACGTTCGATGGATGTAGTTAAAATACAAGAAATTCATGAAGAAGATCCTGAATATATTCGTCAACGTCGTGCTACTATTGATAATCTTCTTACTGGTCGTATATCGAAAAAACGAAGAATTGCTAAACGAAAAGTTATCAATGGTACAAATTTAGCAAAAGTTTTTGAACTAGAAAACCAACCAATGACAGAGAAAAGACCAAAAATAGCCTCTTCTTCTTCATTGTCAACGTCGGTTATTAATGAACTGATAAATATAGCAACATCAACTGAAGGGGGCCCCCCCCCCTCAGAAAATCGAGTTTTTCGGGACAATATCGAAGTTGAGTTTTTATTACAGGAAGATGCAGCGAAGCTTCCTCTTTCAGAATATATATAGTTTTTTGGAAAATAATCGGATTTTCAAAGACTTATCACAGGAAACTTTAAATCTACTACCATGTATTTGGAGGAAATTTCATGGTTTTCAGTTTCAGAAAAATTGCGCCCCCACTTGCATTATTATTGAATAGAACATTTTTATATGAACCCTCACGTCAGATAGCGCTAGCTACCTTCATATTTTACGTCCTTTAAAACGGTGCAATGAAATATACCATTGTAATATGGCTTGCTCTGAATTTGAATGAAAAAATCCATTTCTAAAAATTTTTTAGCATTTTTCTCAGAAAGTAGGTTCGACGACGTAGCGCCACCGCCATTCGATCACTGTTCAATATAAAGTCATATATTTTTTTTTGTTTGAAAGCTCGTGTTTAGGGCTAGCCCCTCTCGTGGCCCGATTTTTAAAATAAGCTTTTTATTATTATATAAGAACACATCTTCATAGAAAAAGCGCCATTTTTTCGGAGTTTTTTGAGTCATTGAACTTGTCACTCCTTTTCTTCGCTTAAAAAGTAAGAATTTAGAGAAAAGGGCCACGAGAGGGGCTAGCCCTAGAGACAAGCTTTCAAACAAAAAATATATATATATATATATAATGAGAGTCCACAGAGAAATTTTGGCGCTGAAATGAGCTATTTTTGACCCTTGTTTGGTTCATATCTCTGTCAAACGTCATGGTATCGAGCTGAAAATTTTACCACAGCCTCCTCACTTCAGCCCCAACATATGCTCCAAATTTCAGCCCATTTGAACGTACCTGGGCTGAGATCGATTTTTGAGGGGGGGGGGGCCCTGAAGCAATTAAAGTTAATATTCGATGTAAGAAAATATTTTGAATTGAAATGAATGATTCGTTATCTTGATCATTTTAGTACCAAAACCGAGAAAAAAATCGATTACACCTAAAGCAATTACGAAGCATAAAAAACGAGTACAATCGAATCGTAAAAAAATTTCCAAACGTAAGCTTCCCGATGATGATAATCGATCAAAACAAGGCGATGGTTCCGGATGTAAACGACAACGTCGAGGACGTGCTGTGGGTGGACGCAAAAAGATACGTCCAATTAAAAATATTACTCCAGTTGATTCTTTTGCTTGATTTTCTTCAAATGGATTCATGTTTTGCATGAAAGTTTATTATTGCTTGTAGGGTTAACAGATAATCATACAAAAAAAATGTCAGATATCGACAACTTTTATCTAAATCAGTTTATTTTTCAGCTACCATTGTCTTCTGTGGATACATAGAATAAATAAAGCTCAAGAAGACGAGAGAGAAAGAAAAAATAATTCAGTTATTGATGTGTAGTATCTGTTAAAGAAAGATCGACATACACTTACTTAGCAAACAGGACGATTTTCTGAAAATTTCATGTTGACACTCATGCACATAGAAAAATGTGAAGACGTCAAAATGCATATGCTGTGCTCTTGCTGTCAAACAATGTTTTTTCTAGGTTTCCCAAGTTTGTTGATAATCTAACGCTTCACAAGCTATATCTAATTGTTTTTTTTTTCTAAAGTCTTATCCAATATTTACATAAGTAATCCATAAATGATTTCTCACGATATAGTAAAAATATGATGTGTAGACTTGACGCATATGGATATTCTAATTCTTCCTGCTGGTTTCTTGTAAAGTAAAACCATGTTATTGTGCAAAACCAAATGAAGTATGTGTAGAAGAGCAAAAGCATACAATAGACACCTACAAATATCAATTAATTTAATTGAAAAATGTTGAAAGAGTTGTTTCAGTGCATTATTAACGTTTTGAATTTCTACTCCTAAATATTCGAAACACGAGACAAACTCAACTCGTTTATTTTGAAAGAAGACTTCTGGTTTATATGGCTGGTAAAAATGTTTTTCCAGGGAAGTAATACTGTGATTTCAAATAACATCAACAATAAATTTTATATCAAATTGGAGTACGTCGAAAATAGATTTTTTAATGCTAAATAGCAAGGATTATGATAAATTTTTAGTGTCAAATTCAGGAAATTTCTAAAAGTCTACACCTTATCAACAGGGAAAAATTCCTTTCATCAGGTAGTTCAAACTAGATCTCACATAAAATGATAAATATCAACAAATACTGGATATCTGACCTAGAAATATTGGAAAAATTGTATCAGTTCAGTTCTCACGAACTGATTCGATTAATCAGTTCTTTCGAACTGTTAGATAGACAGGTAGACAATGAAGTAGATGTGGATGTGGGTTAGAGATCAGTGGGATCAAACTTTTTAACCTCCAAACCGGCTCCGAAACTCGAAAACATGTTTTATTTCTTCTCGGTCCTGACCCCGAGCTCGAAAAGTCCTGATTTTTTTCTCACAAATAATTGACACCTAGTGCGCGCGGTATTATACAGACGGAGAAATATAGACAAGTTTTGATTGCTAGCTAGTCCAACGAAGTAAATGGAGAAAAAAATAAGGTATCCTCTTCTGTTCTTTCTCTTCTTTCCATCTCTTCATTTGTGTACAAAACGAAAAGATGATTTTAAAGTTGTTAACACGAAAAGAACTCGAGAATGCTTATAAAGAAACGAAATTCTTCTGTTCAATATGTAGGTGCAGGTGAGGGTGTGTGGTGAGTCTTCTGTACAACTACACCCATACCTCGTCAACTCATAGCAGCTACAATCACATCCAGTCACATCCTCTTTTTCTGAGTTTCTGTTTTCTTTTTTAGTGAAACTTTGAATTCTGACGATCAGATACCTTTGTCTTTCTTTTTCGTTTGTTTACTTTTTAATTAACTGTGAAAATAAATAAGTTTGTGTTACAGAAAAACAAAAAGTATTTTTCGGGGAGTATCTACAAAAAGCAATTGTATTTCGTATGAATGGTGGCAGAAGAAAAAACTCTTCCAGTGTTAGCGAGCTCTCCTGTCTGAAAAATGATGGGTCTTATGTCAACAAGGATGAATGAATTGATAAAGGTATTTTTTGAAAATTTTTAGATAGGTATGTAGAGAACACTTCAAGCTACATGTCAATGTTTTTTTTCTTAAAAATAACATTACGATTTGAGCATAAAGTGAAAAATCTTCAGCAGACTATATTGAATTTCAAAGAGTAGTCGATCATCAGAAAAATCATCTATCTTATGTATTTCTATATTTCGAACAGATTTTTTTTTTATTACCACTCAATCTTTTATTTGACTTGTTACGACGCTCTAATTCTTTTTCATGTTTGCATTCCGTTTTTCTTAATTCAACATTAGTATTATTCTAATCATTGATTTAATTTGCAAATAAGTTTGTTGTACATATCGATTATACTTATTGCAGATCTAAACACAAGTTTTATGTTGATTATATGACGACTATGGCAAATCAATGCATCACTACTCATCAACCTTGACATTTTGAATATAAGTTTTTAGCTCTGCCAAAATCAGGAACTGCACTATTTAGAATATTCACAAGCATATTCCAGACATTCAAATTTCAGCGAAGGTTTTTGAATGTTCTAAAATAGTCTATGTTATGTTATTAATGCCGTTTAAAGTCCTTTTTCGTTACTAAGAAGCTTGGGGAAATGAGTCCGACGTCTGTTGTCCTTTCTCTCGCCCTCTATCCACGTACTAGGAGAAAAAAGGGGATGAGTCGCAAATTCTCGACTGAAAACTTACACTCTCTATATTTTGTTTTCGAAAGAAAAGATGATACCTATACTGCGTGAAAGTAATAATTCAATATTTGACCGTCTTGAAGGACGAACGTTGATTTCAGAAAATGATAAACATTTTCCATCTATTACATTATGTTCGATATTAAGAAACATACTATCATCAGTTATATCTTTAAATGTCTGCAAAATATATATTAATAAGTTTCGTTTTAAAAGAGCCTTGAGCCTCCTCAAGAAGAATTATCGGAGGATCTCTAGCTCTTTTGCAGACATGGTCAAAGGGTTCCGCACTTACAACTGTTTTCTGGTTACGCCACTAGAACTCTTTTCATGATAAGAATTACACGATTTTCAAACAAACAGTACCTCTATGAAATATGCACCACCCTCACCCATATACAGTGTTTTTTCTGTAGAATACAACGTGCATGAATGTGAGTGCGATACCTGTCGTGTACCAATAAACATTTTTCATTCGAGATTCTACTCAACCAATCCATGATTTTCTATTCAATAGCCACGTTTTTACTTGTACTAGTGTGTACGCTCATTCGAAAAAGTAGCTCAGATAAGTGAAACAATAGCAAATGCTCCATGATTGGCTCTTTGATTTTTGAGAGGGGCCAGATATAATTTTGATCACATATTGTAGGGAAAATTTTTCTCTATCGAACTGCGTTTTTGATTTTTTTTTTAAAAGAGGCAAGTAATGACACAAAACGTCATTAAAGATGAGATTGTAGCGACCTCGTAATGGTGTATTTTCTTTTATTGAGTTAACTCTCATTACTTGCCTTTTTTTAAAAAAAAACCAAGAACACAGTTCGATAGAGAAAAATTTTCTCTACAATATGTGATCAAACTTATATCGGGCCCCTCTCAAAAAATCAAAGAGCCAATCATGGAGCATTTGCTATTGATTCGATGAGTCATCGGGCTCAGCGTACATACTATACACTAGTAAAATAACTATGAATATAGACAATAAATTTGTAGGAAAAACTATAATATTAGATAAACCTAGTTCAGAAGAACGTTTTCTAGTTCGACATGAAGTTATGCATATATGGAAATGGTACTTGTCCTACTTATTTCAGTTGTTATTCGTCAATTTTTATTATTATTATAGAGAAATTATCATCTTTGATCATATCAGGTAATCGTTAAAAATTTTTTTTTTCAATAGATGAAATTGCTTTTTAGTTTTTTACCTTTATTACGATGTGGCTAATTGCATTTGGATTATCAATTCATTTTTTTTTAATATTCATTTTATTATAATTTACTGCTCTTTCACAATGATAACAGTTTATATTACACGTTATGCAACACAACAACCCATTCAACCAAATATAACAAGGTAAAAAAAAAAAGGAAAATTTATTTTTTTTGAAAATAATAAAATGATGTTTTTATTTAAATAGATTAGTTTACAAAATGGTTTCTTCTTATTTATAAAGTCTCATTTGCACTTGCTATTAGTGGTTATTTTCTTATAATGATGACTTCCCAGTATTAATATCTCCACAATTAAATACTTGATGTTGTAAATTAAAATGTGGTCATACGTTAGTATTATCTTGTTTATTTTTTATTCCTTTTGAAAAATTATTCACAAGATGTATGCTTAGTAAAAAAATTAATATTCATAATTTTTTTTTAAATTTAGAAACCTCATGTACTCTATGGAAATTTACTTGATTGGGTTCGATATTTAGTTGCTTGGCAACCATTAATTTTAATGATTGTACAAGGTGTTAATTATATACGTTGTCTTGAATAGGTGAAATAATATTTATTTCAATCGTGAATTATATAGACGATATTTTTTTTTGTTTT